CAGAGTCACACTGACTATGACCTACATGGGATGAAATCTCTCGTTGGCCAGTTTAGGGTCACCTGTCCCGTCTGCTCCTCCCCACAGGTGCTGCCTTTTGCTTTCTGCCCCCTCCCCAGTGTGGTTGATTTCTGCAGTTTTCTTTGAATCTATGAAGCAGTGCACAAGACTGCTTTTTTTGGTTGGTTGGTAGGTCGAAAATGGTCAGCAGGTAGAAGTGTCAGGCCGTGCCCCGTTGACACAGGATGTTGACGCCTCTCTGAGCCGTGAATCTTCACCTTCTAGGTACCCCAGACTTCTTTCTGCCACCGAGTCCCAAGCTAAAAGCCAGTCTTCTGGTATTCTGCAAATATACACACTGTTGCCTTAAGGGTTCTTACTAATGTTTGTGCATAGTGACTACCACAGAGGATTTAATTTTTGTTTTCTTATATATTAAGAATGTCCTCTTCTATCTAATTTAAATATGAAATTTCAAAAACTATAGCCTTTTTTTTTTTCTTGCATTTTTGTTGTTCAGACTTAGGTATAAAGACAGAGTTAGGCATAGTTTAAGAACATTTCTTAACAGATACCAGTCTGGATTTTCCTTAGAGAATGGCATTTTTGTTGTTTTAGTTTAAAAACAGCCTTGTATTTGATCTCTGAAGATATTATTCTTCAGATTTAAGTTACAATGCAGAGAAATGCAAAAACAAGTACACATGTGTGTTGCACACGCATGTGAAAAAAAAGTTTGTTGCCTTAGGCTTCCAATCTTTTATTATTTTTAGATTACGCTTCTGTGTCTTTCTTGTAGCTACCACATGAGTTTTGAAGGCATTCTGCCAGTAGCTGCATTGTCACCTGTTTAAAATTAACTGTGTCTTAAGATTTTTTCCTAAGTTTCACAGGGCACAGAATGTTATATTTCAACATTTTGTAGTTTTGGTTTTGCAGGATGTGCACCAGGAGCAATAGTAATAATAAAATAAACACTGCACTTTGTGTGTGTGTGTGTGTGTGCAAGCACATGCGTAGGGGATTACTGCTGCATTTGAGCAGCCTGGCTTCCTTCCTGGTTCTGCCTTTGGAGATCATACTGCTTGGGGAACTTTCAGATCTCTGGTTGTAAAATTATTCATGATACTGTAATATTTCTTGCTATTACCATTTGAAAAAAATATATTTCAGGGAGGTCTTTAGAAATTTGCCAGGTTGTAAAATGCTAAGCTCTTACTTAGAAGTTTTGATAATCCTCTGTGCTGTGCTTGAATGGGAATTTACAGCTATTTGGGACGTTACTGCTTTTAGAAGATGGCTACTTAATTCTTCATCAGTTGCATTCTTTTTTTTATCTGGAAAGAAATTTTCAAGGAGTCAAAAGACCAACTATACTGTGTGCTTGAATTGGGAAGGCCTCTTTTTTTTCTTTCAGTCCCACCACTGACTTCTCTCTGGAGTACTACTTATGGGTTACATTACGATCATGTTTTGTTGGTTTTTTTTTTTTTTTTTGGAAAGGCACTGGTTTTAAAGGTTGAGGAAGAGTGGTGGTATCATTTGTACTTGTAGTATTGCGATTCAGATACGTTGTGCAGCCTTTAACTGTCTTCTGGCAGACGAGGAGATGTCACTCATCTGACTTCAGAGAACTGATCCAAGTCTTGACTAATTTAAATGTGCAGCAGCAGCCTGCAGAAAACTGATCTCAGTATGATTTTACCACACCTTTGTCCATTCTGCTGGTCTGCTCTGTTTCCACTTCACCTTTGTTCTCTCCTTATATCTGCTAGAGATGCTCCTGGGATGTTGGTGATCGTAGCAGTGGTTAGCAGAAGCTATAAGGCGTTCAGATCCTCTCAGGACACATAGGGCATTTTATCCACTTGGAAGATTTCTTCTTTTCACCTTGCGAAACAAGCCCACTCAAGAGTCCTGTTTAGCCTGTTAGCCAGTTTTGGTTTTGTTTATTGTGGTGGTAGGTAAGATTTTAGGCATGAATTGCCAAGTTATATTTCTTAATTTGCTCTGTAATGGATGATGCCATACAAAGCAAGGTTGGTAGTGTATGTCAACATCTTGTTATCTTACAGTGGCAGTCCTGGGATTTTAAAAGCCAAAAAATACATAAAAATAAACAAATCTAGGTTTGATTCAATCCTGTAACAGTGAAGTCTAAAATCGCACTCCCCAGTAGGAGTAATTTTGTAATGACTGCAGCTTTTTTAGGTAACCCTGATAATGCATTAGGCAAATTTTTTCCCAATTTCCCTGATGGTGCATAACATTGCTTGTTTTCTTTCCAGTTATTTTAGTTTAGGGGGAAGTATCTGGGCAAATCTCCAGTGATGGTGCTTCTAAATGATGTTCTACTACTATTAAGCAGTTTCCACATAAACAGGATTTATTGTTTTTTTTACAGAAGGATTTCATGCCACTGTTTAAAAAAAAACCCATACTCAAAATTTTTTTTGTATGCTTTACTTGTCAGCAGCAATATAAAAATACTTGTATTCTGCCTTTGATCATAACAACCTAAGAAGAACTACCGATGTGAATTTTTTGTTTCTGTATACTGTGCTGAGAATAACATTTTCACATCTTATCAATTTTTGGGCAGTCCTGCAAATGTTATTATCTGTCATTGATAGTCTTTTACCCTATTTTCTTGCATTCTGTGCTGCAAATTTCCCATTATTTCATTTTTCACCAGGATACTTTTCACGCTTTGTCCCTGTGCTTGTGGCACTCCATGCAGTTAAGGAGGAGGACTAGAAATGTTCTCATTGTTGCCATTGGTTTAACCAGAAAAATCAGTCTCTGGGGAGCTGCAAGGAAGTAGTTTTAATATTGTCCTGGAGAGATGAAGACAGGGGTACCATTTTCATATATGCATGTGTAGTTAAACATATTTCATATGTATATACAGTATATCTGGTATACATATGTATGTTAAAAAATGTAAAAATACATTGTGTGTGTGTATCTGTCTTTCCATGTCCAAGTGTAATTTGCTACTGGTCTTTGACTGACATAATCTTAGTATAGTGACACCCAATTACATAACCTCAAAGCTGAATAAGATGCAGATTTGAATTTTAGATTCTTCTGTAGTTTCTAATTTTGTTTTCCTACATATTTTTTAGGTTTTTGTAGACTCATTTTCAAGGTGTAAACAATCAGAAATCCTGTAACGTGATGTAGACTGCTTTATCTCTGTGTTTATCGTGTGTGATATTTTTTTTAAGTCATGTGATAATTGATAATTGTACATGACTATCATGTGTGATCATCAATTGCTACCTACACTCCCAGTAAAGATTTAAAAGAATTAGAAGCTTCAAGTTTTAAAACAATAGATAATACAAGGATGATCTTCCTAGCTCTGTGCTGAATTTGCATTTGGGGATTGTGAAGGAATCTGGATTCAGGGCTGTTTAGTGGAAACTATTTTCTTCTGTTGTTGTTAAAGCAGAATCTTTACTAAAGAGTTAATTGTGTCAAAAAGATATCTCTCGTGGCCTGTACTACAGGATGACCTGTACCACATCACCCTTTCTGCAAAGCCCTGTGCCTGGCTACCACGAGTAACATGTCCAGTGGTGCAGGGCAGGTTCTGCCTGGGGACTAGGCAGTGGCCTGCAGTGCCCACTGAGGGTCCCCATGAAGGCTGAGAGGGGAAGCAGGCTTGGTCTCGCTTCTCAGCTTTTGAGCACCTTCTTCTTCATTACAATAATAACAACTGCTTTCTCCCCAGAGAAAGTAAGATAGCTCAGCAAGTATCCTCATGCTTGTTTTTATGGAAATGTGTGTGTGAATACTTGTGTTAGAAGGGCTGAAGGTTTCAATATGATGTCTATAGTAAAGACAGAAGCTTTTAGAGGCTTCCAGATTAGAATTTTAGAGTGTGTACTAGCTGAGAAATGTTCAAGGTTTGCTCCTTTAACCTTGCATTGCACTTCTGTGAAACACGCTTCCCTGACAAGATATCTAAAACATTATGTAAGGGTTGTAAGGATGGATTTGTCCTATGACATGTTATGATATAAGACATGAAAGCTTTACATAAATTACTAAAAGAAAACCTAGGCTGAAAGGCTAAAACATGGAGCACAGCAGCCAGGTGCATGTGTTTTGGTTCCTGCAGGGCTGAGTAGCTAAGTGAACACAGGGTTTATGTGGCTGTGCAGCTGCTCAGTCTAAATTTCAACTCCTCCTCTTAAGCAAACGCAGGAATAATATAGATAAGCTCTTCCAGTCACAGAGGATGAACTTACTGAATTGGAGCAAAGTAAAAATGTTACGTGATGTATCCTGTGGTGAAATTTCCAGCAAGCAGATCTTAACTTTAAATTGAAAAATAGTCAGAAATTATCATTAACACCTGCTTTTAGCACAAAATACAAAGACACAAAGAAATTTAAAGGAAGAAAGGAATGACTGCCCATTAATGAATATGAGCCAGATTTTCATTAACACTGATATACTGTTTCTGATGTTAAAGTTTGCAGGGCTGTAGTTGTTACATTACTTCCTTAAAAAAAACCCCCGAGCAAACCCAAAAAAAAAAACCCCAGACATACCTGTTGATTGTACATTGCCTACGATACTGTCTTGAAAGCTGGCCAAGTAAGATAATTTTTTTTTTTTTTTTTTTTTTTTACTTCCTGAATTTTGTGATAAAATGTCTCATAGTAATTACCAGAAGTTAGATGTTTTGGACAATTATGTCTTCAAGGATGGAAGGTTTAAAAATATTTGGTTATATGTTATACGTGTATTGTATAGTTGTGTGTTACTCATTAGTTTAGTTGTTAAATCAAAATGCAAGTTTTAATTCATTGGTACTTCAGTTGCTACTGATGGTGGTGTTTGACACTGAACTGGTCCCGTGTAGTTACCTTGGAGGCACCACTTGACACTCTTCAGCCATGCACTGAACAAGTTCTCAGCATTCTGCAAAAAAAGCTCTGTGTGTGTCCAGTGGCTAAAGTGTGTGCTTCTTACTTGTCTTGCAGGCACAGGAGAGAGTGGCAAGAGCACGTTTATCAAGCAGATGAGAATCATTCATGGATCAGGTTACTCTGATGAAGACAAAAGAGGCTTTACAAAACTGGTGTACCAGAATATATTTACAGCAATGCAGGCCATGATCAGAGCCATGGATACCCTCAAAATCCCATACAAGTATGAACATAACAAGGTGAGATATTTGTTTATATTTGTACCTGAAGCTTCTCCTCTTCCTGTTTTAGGAAACACACCAAAGGTCTCAAAAAAATTACAGGTTGCACAAATTATTCCCAAAGCTCAGAAAAAAAAGACATTTTCCAATCCTGCCATTAGTTCTTTGCCCTTTTTGCTACTTTGACAACACAAAGGTGCTGCTTTTATCAAGATCTTAACAAGATGCCATGGAGGATTGTCACAGCACTGAGGTTTAATAGCAGGCTGATGTTTGGCTGTAACTTTAGTTGTCCCTTGTGTTTTCCTCCTAGGCCATGATCTGGCCGCAGCAGTTAAACTGTTCTGATCTGTAGCAGAACATTACAGCTTAAGGCTTGTCATTAACATTACCTGTGGAAAAAATTCAAATTAGAAAAATAGATAGGGATTCTGGTGTGTGAACATACTGTCAAATAAAATTTTTGATGCAAGACCGTAAAAAAGTCAGATACTTTTGAGATTGATGCTGCTACTGAAAGTTAAAAGAAGAAAATACGTTTGACTTTTTTGGAAGGTATATCTCTGACTAGCTTGACTTAATTCCCTTTTATTTTTTTTTTTTAATTTTTTTTTTTTTTTAGAAGAACAGTAAGTAGAACAATTTAAGCATTCCTTGAAGGCAGGTGAAATGCTTAATATTTACTTAAATACATAGTAGGGCACAGGATTACATGGCTGTATCTCCCAGTTCTTGTCACAGAAAGGTACAACTTTCTTTGGTGACAGTTCCTGAGAACTTGTTCTGATTTTTGCTGTTGAGCTATTATGAGCAACTTCATCAGGTGGAGATTTTAAGCTCTCTTGCAAGTAAAGGGGTCACTTTTCTTTCAATCTTGTGAAAGACTATTTAATGATAATTTATTTAGTAATCCTGGATGAAAATAATAATTTAGTAATCCTAGATGAAAAGAATACTTTCTTTGATTAATTATGCAAAGGTTCCTTTATTCTAATACTTCTTTAAGTATTAGAGACTGTCAAAGAAAAGGGATGTTGCCTATAAAGACTTAAGCCTCTGTTAAATGGTGAACACAGGATGAGGCAAGCTTGTGTTAAGATGGAAATATTTTGTGTCTATGTATATGAAATTTAATTATTAGAATTGAGCTGCTGTAATTCAATTAGGATTTAAAAACTGTAAAACTCTGTTTTAAGGCCTCTAATTTAGAAATAGGAAAGATAAAGCCTACTACCTGGTTAAAGAAGCTCTATATGTGCTTGTGCCAGAGTCATTGTTGATGGTCATCACTTGTCGGTGACATAAGGTTGTAATAACCAGAATCTTGCAAGAGCCTTGTTTTATGCAGTGGGAAATGAGGAGGATCCTTTCTGTCCAAATCCGTATTGTTAACTTCGGTTAATGGTGGGTGGGGTTTTACATGCACAGGGAAAAGACTGAAAAACTTCTCCTGATTGGTAAGAGACTGTTGCACTTCCTAGTCTGACTAAGTTCTGGAGCTGACTAGCTTCACACCTCACAAATCAAAATCCAATCTGTAAGTAGTGTTAAAAAGAAAACTGCATTTTTATGTCTGTCCCAGTCTTCTGGCTCCATGTTTTTGCTGTGTCCAAAGCATACAGCATACTGACTTGAAACATTAATTCATGGTAAGGAGCAGTCATTTTTTTTCTTCAAAATTGGTAATGATTGTCACACTTTGCATTAGTATCAGGAAGTCCTAATAAATCAGGAAATGTTTTCCTTGTCCTGTACTGCAGAGTTTGTGTTTTGTAGTTCGTTTAAAGTGCTGAAATGATATAGTTGGATCGAATCAGTTAGGTTTGGCTTAGCTGTGTGCACATGGCCAGAGCTGTTCACTTTCTCTATAGAAAAATAACTTCCCTCGAAGTGGGAATCTGTCTTTGTACTCTGTTCCTTCATGAGCATTTCCATCTGTTTCTAATGGGCCTACATGCAGAGTAAAATTGAAGTTGCCACCTGAGGAGGTCTCAAGGCAATTCCTGTACAGATTCCTTTGCCAATACAGAGGAAATCAAACTTGCTACAAGTTGGCCAGGGTAAAGAAGATTATGGTCTACTACACTTACCCTTTGTATACAAGGCCACTTCACTTTAAAGCAGTGGGCACCAGTCAATTACTTAATCGGCTTCTTTTTTTTTTTCCTAAAGGCTATTGAAAACAAATTCATTAGCCTAGCAGTCTAGAAAACACAGGAAGGGCACTTCCCTTTAATTTGAATCTCCTATCAGGAAGTCCTATCTCGGGAGAGAATATCTCAGAATTTGAGTAACAACATATTTTTAGCACAGTAGTTGTTTTGCACAATACTTTAGAAAACTGCAACTCAAGTTGGTATTGATGTCACTGGGCCTAAAGAAAAGTGACCCCTTTTTTGTCAAATTCTTCATGTTCTGAGATAGACTTTGGGGCTACAGCAGAAGTACTTTTCTCTTACTGCACCAATTTTCTTACTTTAACAGGGAATTATTAAAATTGGAGTGTTTCAAATACCTGAATACTGCTGGAATTTTAAGGGCTGTCATATCAAAAAGTTAGTTAAGTAGGCAGTTGCAACCTTTTGTGTAGTGTACAATGTCACAACAACATTTAGATAGATTTTAATATGATAAATGGGTTAGGAGGCAAATTTTAAGTTTAGCAAGTTTTTGTGGAGTTGTTGGCTTCATATTTGCCAATATAGTTGAAGAGGCAGAGATCAAAATCTATTATCCTATATTAAAATAATCTAGGGTGTTGTGAAACATTTATCAGAGCAGTGGAAGTCAGTTGAAATGTAACTGTTAGTGTTTAGAATGCACTATCTTAGGACTGATGGTAGAGCATTATAACATGAAAGACATTTCTTTTTCATATTAAACCTCAGAATTTGAGCTACTCTGAGGTTTAAGGTTATGGTTGAGGTTGATCTCTTAGCAATTTGTCTTAGGAAATGGTGGCTTGTGGACTGACTTTCAGTGTCTTCTGGGTAAATGTTATTGTGCTTCCATTACGTACTTCTCTACTAGAAGTTGTGAAGTTTTCATATGGCTCTTGAATTGCAGAGTAAGAAATATTTTACGAAATAGGAAAAAGACTTTTTTTTTGGTAGAGACGTTCATAAGCAATTCTCAAAATTGCCTGCCTTTGCAAAATTTTGTGAGTGTGCAGTACTAACTTGCGCAATACAGATAATCAAATGCACATTTTAAAAAAAGTAAAATAGAGTCTTATATTTTTTACAATTTTTCTTTTTAGAAAGCTGAACTGTGTCAATGCTTCTGTCATTCCGTTCAAATACTGAAATACAAAGAGCATTAATTTTAATTTATAAATGTTCACTTTCCCAGTGTTCTTTATAATGACTCAGAAGCCCTTCCTTCAGATAATGTAGTGTCCATTTCTCCTTTTCTGATTTTTTTTTTTTTTTTTTTTTAACATGTATAATGCTTCTGAAGGTGGGCAGTATACATGAGTGGCTTTTTCTTCTTTTCTCTCTTGTCATTAAGAAGTATTACCACATTTATTACTATACTAAATAAATCTAGTACTGTAATAAGCACCAACTACTACTGTTACCTCATAATGTTCCTTTTCCGTGTAACTTCCAAAAGAGAGTTGCCTCTCTGCCTTAGCAGATGGTATCAGGAAGGTGTTACCCTGTGGTGATTAACCGGCAGGAAATCTTTCTTGAATCCCATGCCCATAATTTCCTGTGAGACTTCTTAAATATTGCTTACAAGATAACCGATGTGAGTGATGGTAACAGAACAGGCTACAAGAAAGATTTTAAAGAGGCTGAAAATATAAAAGCAAGTTTTTCTGTAGACCTAGACATTGCTCCTAAGTTTCTAAGAGTGTTTCCT